AAATTAAGTTTTTAGACTGATATTTGCCTTTACGATTTTCTTATTCTTGACAAAATTTTATTTATTTCCTTCGACTAAGATAAACTTACATAAGGTCTTTTTCATCGTTGGATATTTGGCGTTCATGAAAGGTGTAAAGGAAGGAAATTGCAATAAATTCATATAATAAATTTTGATATACGGAAGGTTTTAGGAGGTAGAATTTTCACTAAGTACATCTATTACATAAACATTAAAAAATTAAACTTTATATATACAATACATTCGATGAAATAGGTTCGGATGAACCCCTTGCGCCCCTAACTCGGTCCCTCTAATGTTTAAAGGTTAAAATAGTCATTTTAGGTAGATGGAATAGAAGTGTGAATAAAGATGTTGCTTGGATGTAATGAAGAGTTGACGAGAATTTCATTTGCCCATTCATTAAATAGTGAAAACAAACGGTGTTATATTTTTTTAATTGTTGGTTGGACTTTAAGAGGTTTTCAGGAGTCCCATCTTATAGGCACGTGGTGCAAGTGCAAAGCCAGCAATTGTCTCATGTTCTTGCCGTCCCTCTAGTAATTTCAGACTTTTCTTTTTTATCTCCCTAATTTTTTATTTTTTGACGTCCTAAAAATAAATGAAAATGGAAAAAACACCCTATTCATGACTAACAAGAAGCACGCGAAAAAAAAAGGAAATTTCTTGGTTTCGATTACTGGTGTCGGGCTTTATCTACTGGTTATTTCTTATAATGTTGTTATTTTTTTATGGTTTTATGATGATACTAATATATTGTTTCTTTTTGTCTTCTTTAGCCGAGGGTCTCCCGGAAATAACCTCTCTGTCCCTCGGGGTTGAGGTAAGGTCTGCGTATACAGTACCTTCCCCAGACTCCACTAGTGGGTTTACACTTGGGGTTGTTGTTGATTTGTAGATGTTGGTTTTCTTTGTTCTTTTACTTATAAATTTGATTTTATTTAATGGTGAGGTCGCAACATATATGATGTGAAAACGCACGTTATATATTTAAACTTTGATTATAAATTAATTTTATTTATTAAGTACAGAATAGTAGAGTCTAAACTATTAATTTAAAGTTATGAGAAGATATTGTATATATCATTTAATTTGAAAGAATGAGACAGAATAGGTTTTGTCAATGTCGTTTTCGCAGGATATCGCGTGTTTAGGAAGATAGGAAATCCTTATGGTTAGGTTTTTCTTTTTTGTCAATTTTCTAATTGTAGTGAAATTCAAAATATTTAAGTATATAAAATTTGCAAGAGGACTTTGGTTTCTTAACATGACGTAGGGCTTTAGGCCCCTTTGGACCTAGGGACAATGACATAAATAGAAATAGCACGAGTTAGTCAGTTTTTGGACTGATAATTGAAAAATAGTCAGCATTTGTAAAGTTATTGGAAAATAGCCACTATTTTGTTGCAACACGAAAAGTTCCAGCATGATATACTGAAGACTGGTGCACCTGTGTATGAACTTCCAGCATATTATGTTGGAACTCCAACACATGGAAAATTCCAACATAATATACTGGAAATTGGATCACTTGTGTATGGACTTCCAGCATGTTGTGCTGAACCATTATATTATGTTGGAACTCTAGTATATTATGCTGAAATATTTTCCTGATTTTGAACAGTGTTTTCGTTCAGATTTATCTTTACATAAGAAGTGGTTAAATTTTAATTACTTTTGAAATTATGACTATTTTTTTCAATTACCACTTATAAATCTGACTATTTTTGAATTTTACCCTATTATTTTTGATCCGATAAGAAAAGTTTTCTGGTCAGAATTTGAAAACACGTGTGGTCAGAAATTTTTAGGCAAGGCTACCGTCTAAAAAGATATTTCTCTCCCTAAACTGTTAAATCCCAAAATTATTTACAATATTAACTTACAATTTTTTATCTTGAATTCTAATTAATCTCTTGAATGGATTTGGCTGGTAAAAGGCAAAAAAAGGAATATTTGGTAATTCAAGAACTGACTTTTCAAAATTCAGAAAATCATAGTAATGAAAATTTGATCCTAGGGAATTTGAAAATAAAAATAAAAATATTCAAGAGTCTAATACACACTAGTAGGAGTTGCCCGGGCGAAGCCCGGGCCCAACATGAAACTTTCCCCGAGGGTATGGTATGTTTTTTTTTTTTGGTGGAATGAATTTTTTTATTCATCTCCAAACAAGTACATCAATAGGAATACAATGAGAAAACTATAAAGCAGCTAACTATGCTTCTAACTATATAATGAAGACCGTACAATTCCTTTCTATCTATCTATATATTCCTTCTATCCAACTTCCATCATTTATTTTTGTTCTCTTGTTTAATACTTCTACCATAAGAATCTTGCATTCTTCTTTAATTTGCTCACACACTTTATGTGGTTTAGGCACTGAACTCTTCCATACGGCTTCATTCCTACCTTTCCATACATAGTAGTTGATTGCTGCTAATGCTGCATATGCAAACTATGCGCTCAATTTTCGAGCCATCTTCCTTGCCACTCTTCTCCATAATAGCTACCCCTTGATTTTTAGCCATTCCAATATTATACCAATGCATCCGTTGGAGAACTGGCACTCATAGAATAGATGCTCTATAGTTTCCTGTTTATCCCCACACAGCACACATAGGCCATCAGTATTCATCCCTCTGCGCCCCAGCCTATCCTTTGTGAGTAGCTTCTTCTGCATAGTCAACCAGCAAATGAAGCTGTGTTTTGGCATGTTCTGCTCCATACCCATCGTCCCCGTTGACAATTGCCTAGGGACCCTTTTAGCCATTCATATCCCTTTTGTATTGTATATTTCCCTGTACTTGACTGCCACCCCCTGTTTACATATCCTTCTGCCAGTTTGTCTCTAACATATCCTTTTGTATGGTGTGGCTTTGTTATTTGCATCGCATATTGGCTCTTTACTCGTCCAAGGCAAACCAGCAGAGACTAAAGTAGCCCAGCATGAAACTTTCTCCCAATTAAGAGACCACAATGCATTGACTATACATTTTAAAAAAGGAACATCTATGTATTGATTAAAAAATTCCAGCATCAAGATATGTGAAAATTACCGCAATTTCTTATAATTTTCTCAAGAAGCTAAAATCTTGTCTATTACCTCTCACTATGGCCACCCACTGATCACGGAACATGCATCTGAATGACACGAGAACATCATATTACCTATTCGCTGCATAAAATATATGAATGACAACGTGCATCATGGGACTTCATTCTTTCAGCCAGCAAATTAACAACAGATTTTATGGAAGAATTGCATTTTTGTCTCTCCAATTCATTCATGCGTCATTGTAATAACATTGCCTCTTTTTTATCAACTGATATCTTCCCATAACTATCACGCCGCCTGAGTTTCATTTCATCATTTCTCTCTTCTGAATATGGATGTTTATTTCTTTGTTTGGAAGACATTTCTTGACAAGCTAATTACCGCAAGATAGCTGCATTTCAAATAGTTCAGAAAGAAAAAAATTTCCATTGACAATACAAAAATAGTTGAATACAGTATAACAAATTCAAAGATTAGCTGGTAACATCACAATTATCAACCCCCCAAAAAAGATTGTAATAAGCAAAATGCTGGTAGACATATGTAAAATGTCATTCATGTAAAAATAAAGTACAGGTAAACACATATGTAATCTTTTTAAATGAGGAAGTACAGAGGTATAGTTTCAGTTCACTTTATACCTAAAATAACTGCGGATACCTAATTTGAAAGTAATGCCTGAAAGATTTACTTTGAAATGAAGCAGCATCAACACATATTGATCTATTCTAACATATATTAAAAGCATCATTAGGTAAACATAGATCTGTCTGGAGACTCTTATGGGATAAAATTTGATAAGCTTAACCTTAATTTTAGTAGGTCTGCTCGTTTTACAATCTTCTCTTGGGCTAACTTCTACTAAATTTAGCTTAAGGGGTTGATCCCGAGAAACTATACATTGATTAATATGGTGCCAAGTGTATCTTGTTGTCTCAAATTTAGATTTATGGATCATTTAGATTTATGGTCCCGAGAAACACATCGTGCCAATCGACTAAGAACTCAACATGTAGCTTAAATGTGTTATCCAATAATAAAATCTGCATAAAGTAATTTAAGTACTAATTTTGATACATCTATACTTTGAAAGGCTTTACAAAATTACTATTGTCAAATACAATGAAGCTCCTTTCTATTTTGAATTGTTTACACATTTTTAGTTTGAAAAAACTCACAAGACCCGAAAAAACTTAACCACTCCAGATTCTTCCTGGGCAAAAGAGTTCACCGAAGAACCATGAGAATGAATTCTTAATAGCAAAAATCCAACACATATGAAAACCAATTGGCGGAATATCGAATCGTCGCTGCCCATGATGTGCCTAAACTCAAATTACCAGCCCCTCCTTCCTAAGGGAAGCAACAAATTAACCGAAAGATAATAATAAAAGTCTAATCGAAGGCCTAATTCGTTGAAGAATTTTCTCAAATGCTTACAGAGCCAAATGAAACGGAAAAACACAAGATGAGAACAAGGAAACCCAGCAGAAAACAACGATCAAACTGCAAAATCCAAATGAATTGCAGAAAATTGCAAGATAATTATGAAATAAAATAACTGAAAACAGCAGTAACATAATCCTCACCTGAGATAAGAAAAAGCACCGTAAAAAAAAGTTAAGAACGAAGAGCAGAAGTCCTAGAGAGCAAAACCTAAGAACTGTTCCACTGATAGAAAACATCAAATCTGGAGTTTCTTTGATTTAGCATAGATTATAATGACCAAAGTCCATCAATAATTTTGACCATTTTAGACAGAATAAGTAATTATTTAAAAGTCCATGAATAATTTCCTATATATAACATTGGAAATGGAGCAATAAAAAATCAACTTCAAAAACAATGGCCAAAAAAAGAGGATGAAATTCTTATTTAGTAACTGATAAATCAATAGATTTTATTTGAGAAAATTATAAGTTTAAACAATATCAAGTACTTAAAAATTAAAACATAAGCTATTAATGTTCACATGGTCCTCCATATGACACTAAATTCCCAGTTACAACCCCAGAGTTTGGATAATCAGTAACCCTATATAAATTTGGACTATTTGCATATAATTTCACTAAAATATTATCTAAAGACTTAGTTTTATTTTTATCTGTTAAGAAAGTACATTTCTTACAATATGCATCTTTTTTAAGGTCTCCAACAGGAAAATAGCCACTGCCCATTGGAGGTTCTGGAATTCCTGGAGGACTATACACAACTCCTCCATGTTCAGCACTTGTTGCAAATCCTTTTAAGTTAGTAAATATTTTTGCAGGCCAAAATCCAACTGCTGTTATTCCAAAATAAAACCACCAATTTCCATTTGACATGTCCTGTATATAAAAAAGGAAACAGTTAGATAAATAAGTTATGTGCGCTGACAGTTAAAAAAAAAAGGGCAGCCCGGTGCACTAAACTCCTGCTATACGCGGGGTCTGGGGAAGGGCCGGACAACAAGGGTCTATAGTACGCAGCCTTACCCTGCATTTCTGCAAGAGGCTATTTCCACTACTTGAACCCATGACCTCCTAGTCACATGACAACAACTTTACCAGTTACGCCAAAAAATATGTGTTCTGACAGTGTAAAAAATATTTATATAATCAGGGCTAGCTTACCCAAGCAACATACATCGGTACATCAAAAACAGGTCCACCATAGGAAGAACCTGGAAGTTGCCCATCTAAAGGTATTGCAGTGTTTATTTGTATAAAACCTGGACATCGAGTATTATAACAAGCTAATTTTCCAGCCTGTGGTGGTAAGAAAAGAAAAAATAAGAGTCATTGATACGTCGACTATCAAACATATCGTAATTGATTAAACAGTATTGAACGTCATCAAAATGGAATACAATTAGTATTAACACGAAAGAAGCTAAGAAAATTACCGTAAAATATGTGTATAGTCGTGTATGAGTGTCCCCATAGACGGGTGGATTAACCTTCAATTGAAAAAAAAGTAAAGTTATTAGGTAATAGATGACTTTAAGAAATGGAATTATAACGCTTTGATTAGCATAGGCTGATGCAAGATTTAGAGTTAGTGAACCAGCCTAGGCTATATACATATAACTCGAGTTGAAGGCCGCGAATATGGAATTATAACAATTTAATTGGCTTAGACTGATGTAATATTTAAACTTGTGTATTCAGTGTTAGTGCAGACTTATAGTTATATATATAACTCGAGTAGAAGGCAGTGAATGTAAACTTATAACGGTTTGATTAGCATAGTTTGATACAAGATTTAGAGTTAGTGAATTCAAAGTTAGTGCAGACCGAGTTGAAGGCAATGAATGTGAAATTACAACGGTTGGATTACCACAGTTGATGCAAGACACAGGGTTAATGGATTCTGTTAGTGCAGACTTATTTATATATATAAATATAATTCAAGTTGAAGATAATGAACGTGATACCATATCCGCTGGCGATTACCTCTATCCACCTGTGTTGATTAGTGTAGTAATTAAAAGTCATGGATTGCTAATGAAGAGCAAAGTAAGAACTTACAGTCCACCCAACTTGTATGCTGTCAATCCCATTCTGAACTTTTATACGACCTCCGCTATGTTGATGCCCGCTAAGATTTTGAGGATTATGCAAACTAATAATTGCTCCTGCTCCTGCTATTTTGTTTCTTGGACTGTATGGGATTTGTACAGATGCAAACTGAATGAAGCAATATCACAACATCAGATTGTTAAGTGTAGGTAAGGTTGCTAGCTACAAAACAATGTAATATTAGTGAACTTAATAGCCAAAACTATAAGTGGGCAGACAGAGGCGAATCCATGAACTAGTGTTTTTTTAGCTTGAATATGGATAATAAAAGCAGACAAACCTTGTAGCCTCCTCCCAAAGGTTTGGTTCCGTCTGAAACAATACCCTTCATAGAAAAATAATGACACTTTGAGAATTAAAGTATACAAAAGAGATTTTGAGTTTATTGAAAATCAAAAGAGTTGTAGAAATGCTTGCAGAAGACTCACGTTACCATCAGGAGAATCATCTCCCCCTCTCATTTGCTTTGTAAGTCTCTGCCTTATTAGGTCGTCCTTTGTAATTCTTCTAATAGGAACTGTTCCAACAGGACAACCTCCGCCTTCTAACTCTATGTTAAAAGGTCTATTATTGTTTGAAGAAATGTCATCTCCTTGCAACATAGATAACATAGGTTTCATCTGCATCCAAAGGTAAGTGTTATGAGTTTCTATGTATATATATATATGTATGATATTTTCTTTCAAAAAAAAAAAAAGGGATTATACGAACTCGGAACTTTTGTGTACAGATATACCTGGGGATGAAAATTATGATTCTTCAACAGAGGATGGTCGAATGCAGGTTGTTTGTAAAAGTCTACACAATCATATAGTTCTCCATATTTGCCCTGCTAGTCAAATTGCAATCAGTCTCCAATCTTTTACATATAAAAACATATCTCCCAAGACTTAAGAAGTTACAATTCAAACTGTAGTTTCACGAGTTTGAATCTCAGTGATCTCCGTATAGTTCTAAAATGACAAATCTATATTTGCTCATAACAAGCGAAAGGCATTATTTTCATTTGTGTAACAACAAATAATAGCCAAGGACATGTAGAATCTATAAAATTTGCATAAGACAGATAGAGATTGTACCTTAATAGTCTTGATTGCCGGCTTATTAAGAAGCTTTAGTTGCTTCTCTAACTCTAAGTCCTTTGCTTTAGACAACCTCTGTTCTGCTTCAACTTCATAATGGTTCAAAAGGAGAGAAATCGCAAGCAAAATCTGTACGATGGCTCTCTGATGCAGTGACATTTTCTACATATTCAAGAAAATCGTAAGCAATCTCTTGACACATTAAATATCACTCGTTTAAAACGAAGTATGTTTTAGAATGATGACCTTATCTCAGAATGCTCAAAAGTTATATCCAACCAGAATAAAATCCTCAACAATGTGATATGACAAATTTTTGTTTTACTTTCCAATTCATTTAATTTCAACCAAATATATCATCAGTTATCAGCAACAACAACAACAAAGCCAGTGTAATCCCACAAGTGGGGTCTGGGGAAGCTGGTACACAGCCTTACCCTACCTTGTGCAGTAGAGAGGCTGTTTTCGATACACCCTCGGCTCAAAGCAATCATCAGTTATCAGCAAGTTACTACAAAATATAAGAGAGTTGTGACACAAGAATTGCCTGATTTGTTGCAACTCTGAACACAAAATACAGATTGAACTTTGAAGTAAAAACATCAAACTAAAGGCATTTATTTATACTAATAAAAAAGGGATAGGCTGGATCAAATGTGTAGTTTGACTTAATGCATAAGAGAGGTTTGACGTATAAGTGATTGGATTACATCTAAAAAGGAAAAAGGTTTAAATTGCAGATCTCTAGTTTTCATCATAAAGGGAAACTCTCTAATGATTATTCTAATTCTGCTTGAATCAAATTCAAACGAAAATTTTCTGCACATATTTCCCTTATGTAAATGAATTTAGTACCTAATTTAGAAGATTACAACATGTTATACGGATTGAGTAAATCCATCATCTCAAGTGGTCTTTTCAATGTCAATACTCAATATAAACCACTCATATCGTGAAAATAAGGGATTTGAACACGTGTTTCCTCGACATGAGGTTTACATCCATTTATACATCAGGGCCAGCTTATCCGAGCAATATACATTGGTACATTATAAACAGGTCACCATAGGAAGAACCTGGAAGTTCCCCATCTAAAGGTATTGCAGTGTTTATAGGTATCAAACCTGGACATTGAGTATTATAACAAGCTATTTTTCCAGCCTGTGGTCATAAGAAAAGAAATACTAAATAAGAACGTTGATACATCAATTTTCAAGCATTTCGTAGTTAGACAATATTGTCATCATTAAAAAGCAGCAAAATTAGTATTAACATGAAAGAAGTTAAGGGAACTACCTTAAAATATGTGAGTCGTGTATGAGTGTCCCCATAGACGGGTGGGTTCACCTTCAATCGAAAAATCATAAAGTTATTAGGTAATAGATGACTTTAAGAAATGGAATTATAACGCTTTGATTAGCATAGGCTGATGCAAGATTTAGAGTTAGTGAACTCAGCGATGCTGCAATCATAGGCTATATACATAACTCGAGTTGCAGTGAACTAACAATTTGATTAGCATAGGCTGATGCAAGATTTAGAGTTAGTGAACTCAGCGATGCTGCAATCATAGGCTATATACATAACTCGAGTTGCAGTGAACTAACAATTTGATTAGCATAGGCTGATGCAATATTTTAAAGTTAGTGGATTCAGAGTTAGTGCACACAACCTTATATATAACTGGAGTAGAAGGCAGTGCACATAAAATTATAACGGTTTGATTAACATAGGTGATGCAAGATTTAGAGTTAGTTAATTAAATGTTACAATGTTGAGGATTAATTTTCATACAGCAGATACTTGATAATTTATGTCTAGTTTCTATTTAGCAGTTTTAGCAATCATTTCAAATAACAGTCGAAAAACAATTTTCAGCACAGTTTCTCGATATTACTTCACATACAGTCCTTAACAATAAAATAAAATAAAAAAACCCTCACACACAGTCCATTATACTCCCCTCCAGCAACTATATCCACCTTTAATTTTATACTTCTCTATTTCATAACAGATAATCAGCCATTCCAGGTAGAAGAAAAGGAAGACAAGACAGTTATGAGCTGCATCCTGTATATCTTAAATTACTTAATATTTCTTTAGTTTATTCTCCTCTTAACAGAAAAATATCACCCAATATGTGCAGCATTCACTGCTCAATAATAATGATACCCTCTCCAGTTCCACTGATTGTTCATAAACATGAATTTTTATCTACAGAGTAATGCTATGTGTCTGTATCCATCTATACATATCACCACTACACATAAAGAGACTATATATAGGAATCAGTAACTTATGTGTTCCAGCAAACAGAAGGGAAGCAGGTAGTCGGGTGTTTTTATGATCTTTACCGAGTTGTTTAGAGCTAGTCTGGTAGTATCTTGTCGTTGTTCCTAGATTGCCAGTATTATGGCTATCTCTTACTATCTTCCGCTTCAGCTTTCTAGTATCTTGTCGTGATTACTGCTTGTTGCTAATGCTTTTCTCCATCTATTTTTTTTCTAGTTCTTAGGTTGTTGTTATCGTTTTTTTGACTATGTTGTTGATATTTGATTGTTTCTATTCATCCTCTCGAGCTGAGGGTCTTTCGGAAACAGTCTCTCTACCTCCCAGGGTAGGGGTAAAGTCGGCGTACACACTACCCTCCCCGGACCCCACTTGTGGGATTTCATTGGGTTTGGTGTTGCTGTTGTTGTTCTTCCCCATCAATTAATGGTCTATTCCAACTTATGTCTTGTATGTAAATTTAGTCTGGACAGTGTTTTTTTTTTTTGGGATAACGCTGGTGCCATTTTGTTGAAATTACTTTTAAGTTTCTTATATTTGAATATAATATCTATCACATGGTGGTCTCAAATTAAAGTTCCAAATTTGTGATTGATGCCTTAACATATGTTGCGCAGACTCTCCAAGATGTCGCTGTACCCGTATCGGATCCTCCAAAAATACACTACATTTGGAGGATCCAACATGCATCCAGCGGCATTTTCGGAGAGTCCTAGCAACATACACCTAAACTATCCATGATTGCCACATTGAGGATCAGCCTACAATGAAAAAAATTATACTGTTATAGAAATCAATCTTCTTATTTGGAATCTTTTCTTCATTCAATTAGCGTAGGATTCCGTCTAGCTCTTCCATCTTTATCTAAGCACCAGCAACATGACAATGTAGTTTGAAATATGTAAGATAATAAAAGAATAAATCTAAAAACAATAATGATTTCATCACCTCAAACTATAACAGACAAGTTTTAACACAAACTAATATTTTCAGATAGGAAAACTAGTACTGCAGGCAGATTCAAGAATAAAGGAAAAGAATCAGGTTAAATATGGCCAGTCAGAAACACAAAAATAAACTAAGCCAAACAGTAGAAAACCAATTGCGACACCTCTAACTATCATTTCTTTCTCCTTTTCTATACACAGAATGTGATAAGTCCTTGATAAAATTAAACACCTGACTGCATGTCTGATTTTTTGGGAGGCTAGATTCAGCATATCTGTGAGTTCTTCTTGTGTAGTGGATTTTTGGAATCCAAAATTGGTGGTGCACTCGGTCTGTCCACTGGAACTCCTGTCCTTGCACCAGTTGATGATTACCCTATCAAAGGAGCAAATGACGGTCGTCCTCGACCAGGATGTACAAAGGCATGGCGATTAGATACAGCTATTCCTGGATAAGCAGTGGAGACAGGAATTGGAGGTGACTGAAACATCATTGGCGGGACACAAACCCTGCTTCCATAGATAGTATCTGCAAAAAACGGGATGCAGTTAGAAATAGTAGGTAGGACTCTAATTTTCAGTTCTTAAAGAAAGCAAATTGCACAACAGCATAGAAAGGTGAAAACCATCATCTAACCTGTACTTGCAGTTGAAGTGTCTTCAAATATTCAATAGCTTCATCAAGCATTAAAGCTTTATCCGCCTAGCAATCAATAAGGAAAGCCATCAAAATGATTCAAAATGAGAAACTACAGGAGAAGGAGTTAGGATACAAAATGGTTGGGGTAATGGCTAATTTTAAGATTACCAGCAACACTTCACCAAACCGTGTCAGTTTCAAAGTAACTAGAAATATATGAGTGAAATATCAGCACAATATTAATCTAGCTTATGCATTGAGCTTAAATAAATTACTGGTATTTTCTGAGTTTTTAATTAACTTGGAGTTGATTGCTTGATGAGACATGGTAGAAAAACAAAAAAGTTTTTTATAGAGAAAGGTGATTTGTATTATAAAGCTAGCACTAAGTGTGTGTTGTAGTAATTACAAGTGCGCAAAACGCCAATAAGAAAAATCCCTTTCCAATCTTACAGGGATTACAAAAAAGGAAGAGACAAAAATCACATAAATTCAACTTTTCAGCAAGACTTTAACTTATCCCAAGACTTTTCTTACCTGTTGCAGTTGGGTATTAGTTCCTGTAATGCGCACATCTTTTCGTTAATCCTATTCCTTCGGCTCTGTTTGCAGAAACTGAATCAGAATGCATTTATATCTAAATTGTCTTAAGAAGATTTAAAACCAGAAATTGTAAAAAGCACAGATGAGGTGGTAATGGTTAGCTCACCCGCTCAGACAAATTATGCATCCTGCAGCTCGGCTTCTCTTTGAACCTGTACCTCCTCGAGTAGGGCAAGGTTTTTTGATACCAACAGATTCTTTCAGCATCCTGAACAAAAGATATTTCCTTGTCACACTCAACATCCCAACAAAGAAGTAACATACTACAAAACATGTTACAAGTAATGCCCTTTAAACAAATAAACTTACTTCACTTGGACACTCCGAATCCTCAGTATCTCGGATTTTGCTCTTTAGATTAGGCTGATCACTTGATCCTCTCTCTGCACTGCTACCAGAGCATATAGATGAGCAAACAACCCCATGTTCAGCGTTTCTCTCACTATCAGCTGTATCTGTTGCTGCCCTTGCACCTGTAAACTGACCAGGGGTGTTGTCACTATTACTCGAACAATCTCTGAATATATTATCAGACTCTTCAACACGACATGATCTATCGTGAAAGCTAGCCCCAGATGCTCTTGACTCGAGTTGGGAAGGTACCACATTAGTTGGATAATGGAGGTCATTTTCCTTGTTGGAACTTAAATAGTCTTCAACCCTTCATCCTCTTGAATCAAATCCAATTCACCAGTATAATGGCATATCATTCAACATAGAGTCCATCACACCAAACTTCCCAATCTTTGAATAGGGTATTTCTTAGCATTACTTGGCTAGCCTGCATCATAAAGAGCAGCGTGGTGCACGAAGTATCTCGTGCTCATGCAGGGTCCGGGGAAGGGCCGCACCTCCCAAGGGGATGTGATATAGGCAGCCTATCTTGATGCAAGCATCAACTCCACGGTTCGAACCCGTGACCTATAGTCCACACGGAGACAACTTTACCGTTGCTCCAAGACTCGCCCTTCTGACCTTGCAACATAATCTGACCATTTTCCCACACAAGCTCAACCAAGTCATTCTCAGGACTGCATAAATACCAAGAAAGAATCTCAAAATAAGCAAACAACCAACTAGCTAAATATTATTCAACTGGTTCCAATCACAAAAGGACATAAACAAAAATGCAAAAATGGAAACAGTAACTCATAAAGAAGAGAGATGAGATTTTCTGCTGGCCAGATCCCTCTAGCCATTTTCAAAAACTCAGAGAGAGGCATATTGGACAGTGTGATAACTGCTAACTCAGAATTGCTCTAACTTTGGGCACTCTGGCATTATTAGGAACCTTTCACTGGTCCAATAACATTTTTTTCAGCAAAAAACCAAACATTTTAGACTGAAAACCAAAAACTGTTTCCATAAACTAATGTCTAAATCAGTAAAATTATATAAAAACCATAACAGTAGTAAAGATATAAATAATTAAGTTATCAGTCAAACACCCAATTGTTTAATGGGGTTTCATAAAGATACTTTTAAATAATAAACACAACCAACTTGAGATTTCTTTGAGTTTAAAAGTTCAATCTTTTCATTTAGTTTCAATCATTAGAGTTCCAATCCCTTCAAGATTTCCTATATTAATTAACAACCCATTATTTATTACACTAAGGGGTCGTTTGGTATGAGGTATAAGAAGGTATAAGGGTGGTATAAAAATTTAATACCACCTTAATGCTCTGTTTGGTTAGCAAACCAGGTATGAGTTATCTCGGTGTTAATTTTAACACCGGGATAACTTATACCTTATAGAAGGTGGGATAATTAGCACTGGTATAGCTTATACCTTCTTTTTAGAAATTATGCAATTGTCATTCCTAATACAACATACCAAACAATGAATAAACAACAATCCAAGCATAACTTATCCCAATATAACTTATGCCGGCATAACTTATACCGGTATAAATCGTATTCCAACCAAACGACCCTTTAGGGGTCGTTGGTTGGTACGGCTTATGCGGGTATAAGTTATGTTGGGATTGTTTTTTATTCACTGTTTGGTATGTTGTATTAGGAATGACAATTGCATAATTTCTAAGAAGAATGTATAAGTTATACCGGTGCTAATTACCCCACCCTCTATAAGGTATAAGTTATCCCGGTGTTAAAATTAACATCGGAATAACTTATACCTGGTTTACTAATCAAACAGAGTATTAAGATGGTATTAAATTTTTATACTATCCCTATACCTCCTTATAACTCATGCCAAACTACCCCTAATAGAAAGAATTAGTTAATTTAAAACAAAACCCATCTCCTCAATACACATTAAAAGTAACACTGAACTCCAAGATCAGCTCACCAAGTACAAAAGCTCTCATCCAAATGAAAAAAAGCACCAAACTTTATGCAAGAAAATCTCATTCTTGAACCAAAAGGTGATGTTACACAGCAAAGCATAAACAACAACAAACAAACCAGTAAAATCTCACAAGTCTAAGAATGATAGAATATACACGTTACTTACTGTAGGAGTAGAGGCTATTTTTGGAAAACCCTTTGCTCAAAGCATGTACATGCAAAATACATAGAAGACTTTTGTGAACAAAAGCATAATTTTTTAATATAAAGTGGGTGTTTGGACATAAGAATTGTAAAATTTAAAAAAAAAAGTGAAAAAAAAATTTCAAGTGAAAATGGTATTTGAAATTTAGAGTTGTGTTTGGACATGTATATCATTTCAAGTGAAATGTGTTTGGGTTGTTTTTGAAGTTTTGTAAGTTATCTAAGTGAAAATTTTGAAAAACAATTTTTTGGAATTTTTCAAATTTTTGAAAAACTACAAAATGCATTTTCCCGCGAAAATTGAAAATTTTATAAATAAATGCCGATTTCGAAAAAAATGAAAGTTTTCTTATGTCCAAACAGGCTCAAAGTATGTAAATTTTTTTTAGAAAAAATTACTCATTAATACGGATAAACAAGCAATGCTCAAATTAACTATATAAATTCAACATTCATTATTGGTAAATACTTACTCACACCGGATGTTTACACCAAGCTATTCATTATTTTTTGAGGTTACGCTTTTATTTATGACTCAGCACTATCAGAAATTCATTTTTATTTCGACTATATTTCTGACTAAAAAAATTCAGTGGGAATTTTGATTACTTTTCCGACTGAAACGGTTGGAAAATAAATAATTTTGACTTCTAATGTTAAGTGGGCGTTTGAACCTGAATATAATTTTGAGCTATTTTTAAATTTTTATAAGTGATTTGAAGTGAAATTTTTAAAAATAGACTTTTAAAATTTTTTAAATTTTTAAAAATTTCGAAATTTATCTTCAAGTAAAAATAAAATAATTTATTTTTGGAAAAAAGTAAAAAAACTTGTATGGCCAAACGGCCTTTAAATATTCCGACTAGTTGGAATAGTGACTAGTGAGCCGTGAAAAGTTAAAAGAATTTTAACGAAAAAGCCGTGAAAATTACCGTACTCGGAATTTAAAAAATAATTTATTTAATTTTCTGACTGAATTTTTTTTAAAATAATTCCAAATTATAACCTACCCATTCTCTCACTCCTCCATCTATACTCTCAACCCTCTCTCTAACCCAGCTGCCACTCTCTTTCTCTCTCTAACGGCGGCATACGGCGGCGTTGGACTGGCGGCACAGTGGTAAGTCTCTCTCCATTTCCATCTCTATTTCGTCCAACTCCCTTTCCTCTCTCAAACCACTTCCTTCCTTTGCCAGTTTCAGGCGGCGTTGGGCTCGGCAGCGCTGACGGCGACAGAACACGGCGGCGACGGGATCTTTTGAATTATTCCCCTCCCGGTGGAGGCAGCACAAGGCATAGTGGTAAGTCTCCTGAATTTTGCTGCTGCCCTGTTTTTGAATAATGCTGCTGCCGTACAGATTTATTCTTGATTAGAAGGATCGTTTTGTATTTGAATTGAATTTAACGAACTTGATTCTTTAAAAAAAAATCCACATATTACTATAAACTCAGCCATGCTTATAAAAAAAACTGGAGGATTGTCTAGTTATTAATTCAACAACAACACAGCAAAATCCCACTAGTGGGACCTGGGAGGGTAGTGGGTATACAGACCTTACCCCTACCCGAAAGATACTCGGCTCAAGAAAACAAAAAGATAAAAGGAGACAATATTAGTATCACCACAGAAATCATAGGAAAAATAGGAACGATGCAAAGCAAAAGCGATAAGCTAGTAAATAGGTCCTGCACTGAAAAGCGAAATAGCAAGACACAACATTGCCACTAGCTATCTTAGACAAAAATCCTACCAGAATAGTTTCACAAAGGTACGAAGTAAGGCAAGACTCAACTACCTCCTAACCTACAACCCTAATACTCGACCTCCACATCTTTTTATCATGTGTCATGTCCTCGAAAATCTGAAATCTCGCCATATCCTGCCTGATCACCTCTTCCCAATACTTCTTATTAATTCGTGATGTGCAATATCCCAAACCATTAAATTGAAACAAGCATAAAGATTTATTTTTTATAAGTTAAGAATTTGGTTTCCTTGTTCTGTCGGAGGAGTTTGTTTCCTTCCTTTTTCCATCTTTCATCTTTTACTTGATCAAATGAGTAAAATGAACCCTACCTTCAATTTTAGCTTCCAACCCCTTGATTTCTCCCTATTCAGGTTTCTTAAATCTGATTGTTATACTGCCGTCATATATGGGCTGCGATTAATTGTATCTACTTAAATTAATAATAAAAAAGCTAACAAAATCCGATTAAATGATATATGAAATCTACACTACAGAAGTCCTTATCAATTAAATTTATTTATATTTGAATTAATGTTGTCCATATCAACTTACTTTAGGAGCAAGGGTCCCAAAAATCTACCTTTTTTCCAATCAGATTTCTATAAAATTCGACTGTTTTCTGGTTGTTTGGCAATTTAAATTGTCGGACCATGGTAGTTGGAAATTTCCAACTGATGTACTTTCCGACATTTCACACACTAGAGGTCCCCGGTTCGAACCCAGGCTCAAACAATTTTTTGCCTTGAGCCGAGGGTCTATTAGAAACAGCCTCTCTACCTTCTAGGTAGGGGTAAGGTCTCCATACACACTATCCCCCAGACCCGACATGTGTGATTATACTGGGATTGTTGTTGTTGTTGTAGTTCTGACAGACATTCATATTTCCGAGTACTCTGTAACGGTCGGAATGTAGTCGAACTTTCCAGCTGTTTCGGTAGTCGGATAACTGTGATTTTCTGGTAGTGCAAACACAATTTGTAATATAATATTTATGTGATTCATTTATAAAAAGTTTACTCATTGAGATGGAGTACACGTGACTAGTAATAATAAAAGCTTCTAACACGAGAAAATTATAATTTGCAATGTGGAAACATGTAATATTTTGAGTCATAGACGCAAAAATAATTTATTACGCTGTCTCCATCAGTCAAGACTCAAGAGAGTTTACCCCAAGTCTCCACAAATCCTAATTCAAAGATTTATCAAAATTTGGAGCTGTGGAAGATGTACGGTTCCAACCCTAGCACCAACGATGAAGAGCGAACCGCTTTCAGGAAGGCTGAAAAGAAATACAAGCTGTATTATGACAATACCCGAAAGTAAGCTTTTAAAGTTCGATAATTTTTAACAAGAATGTTTTTTCATTCTCTTATATTTTTTTCCCCTTCAGCAGATACAACAGTTGATTTACGTTAATGGGACATTATTATGTTGTTAAACTCAGGAAAAAGCAACCAAGACCAGTGGATTTGTCGGAGGTAATTGATTTTAAGTCAATTTCAGAGTCTTACCGTCGAAATGGTGAACTTCCTTCAGGCATTTTCGCAATTCAATGCGATTTTGATAGTCTTGTCTTCTGCTTGGAGAGTCATCCAGGGTTTTATTTCATTCCTGGAGCATTAACTGTTGAGGAGCAGTGCCGTTGGATTAAGGAGAGTTTAGCAAGTTTTCCTCAACCTCCAAACAGGACCAACCATAATGCAATTTATGGTCCTCTACAGGACTTATTTGCTGCTGCCAAGGATAATAAAGCTTTGATTCAAGAAGATAAGCACTGTGTGACCAATAATTCTGAGGTGGAAATTATCCAAAACGACATAAGTGTTCCGAAATGGAATTTTTTTGATCAATCAGGTGCATTATCTAGAGAAATTACATGCAAATCAGTGCCAGCCTCTGTTTTGCTTCGTAAGTTAAGGTGGAGCACCCTTGGCTTGCAGTTTGACTGGTCGAAACGGAACTATAATATTTCTCTGCCTCACAACAAGATACCTGATGCACTTTGCCTGCTGGCTGAAAGAATGGCAGCAGCTGCCCTGCCATCGGGTGAAGTGTTTCA